GAAGACTGTTTTCTCCTTTTTGCTTTGAGTGGGGCTGTGTGAAGAGGTGATGGTTGGCCCTTTGATAGCTATGTTGTTTATCTTAATTCAAGGTGGGCAGTCAAGAGATTTACAGTGAAGTTGTACCAGAGCCAGGGTATCCTTGGACTGCTGAGTTAGCCAACCCTGGATCAGCACACTTCTAGAATCCTTGTTCTGTGAGATAGGGAATGTCTTTTTAGTTAAAGTCTTTAATTGGGCACTCTGTCACCTGCAGGCAAATGCTTCCTAACAGACGCCATCTTTTATGTTTTTATATTCTATAGAGTTGAGCAAAAATTGTCATTCAAAAAACTTACAGGGAATAAAAGACAAGGTAAGAGGGAAAAAGTTATAATCAATCAGACAAAATCATTGGCTATCCATAGCAGTGTGAATATATTTTTGTAAGGCAGAATTCTTCTCTATAATAGAATCCAATAATACTCATTACCACATTGAGGTAGATAACTGAGCAACCCAACTTAAAATTACTATAATTCATGCTAACATATCTGTACAGGAAACTATTATTCTACCTAATGCCATCACTAGCATGTGATACATTTCTAAATATGAGCATTGGAAAGGAGTATTAAAACAACAGTTCTGCATTTTTATCTTCTTTGACATTTCTCACATGATTGACCACTATCTAATTTGTAGGCATCAATAGCAAACTCTATTGCTTTACTCAGTAGATTGGAGAAGATGGGGTGCCATGTGAACAGAAAAATGTTAGGAAGAGCAAGATGCCTCCATACTGCCCAATTATTTTTGAGGTAAAATATCATGCAAAGGGGGAAAAATCACAGTGTTATCATAGCTATTTTATCAGCATTTAACATGTGAAAAAAATTACATCTACCCTCTTTTATAACTGTTCATTTTGTCTTTACTTTTTCTCCTTTCTGAATTATTTAAGTGAATTTTACATATTCATTTACTCTGCCATCCTGGGAAACACTACTAGTTTTCAAACCCAAATCCATTTCCCATTCTTTTTTCTTGCAGATTCTGATTTTGTTCTGGGTAGCAATATGCAACACTAAAAATATATCTCGCAACCTCCCAGGTACCCAGAAGTGGCCATCTGACACAGTCTGGCAATGAGAATAGAAGGCTATGGGGAGGATTTCTATACCACAAAACAGACACACTGCTCAGAGAAGTTTTGTTTGGCCTCTTCCTCTCCTCCTTCTTCCCTTTCCTCTTTTTTTATCTAATAGTGGGTCCCCTACTATTTATTAAGCAAAAACCAAACAGATGTTCATCACCACCACAAAGAAAAAACAGAAAGTAAGAAATGGTGAATTTCCTTCCTTCTGATTCCAGAGCCAGGGTTCTCAACGGTAGGCAATTTTACCTCTCAGAGACATTTGGCAATGTCTGGAGGTATCTGGGTAGTCAGGACTAGGTAGGAGGGTGGGGTGGGGGTGCTACTGGCATCTGGTGGGTAGAGACTAGGGATGCTGCTGAACAACCTACAATGTACAATATACTCCCCCACAACCAAGGCAATCATTTCCAGCCTAAAATGACAACAGTGCCAAAACTGAGAAATCCTGACCTAGAATACTCTGTTATCTTTTTCCTCTCCTCCTTTGTACTTTGAAGGAGACACGAGGTTGGAGGCACAGCACTGACCTTGTGACTATGAGAAGAAAAGTACCAAGGTGAAAAAGGAAGTCTGATTAAGCAACTGTCTTCTCCTGACTTTCTATTTTGTGAGATAAGGCCTTATTTGCTTAATTCACTGGTAGCCAAGTTTTCTGTTACTTCACAGGCAAATATTTTTTTAAGTAATACATTTATTATTCATTTACGCTCTACCTTGTGTTCAGACATGAAGCTAAGCATTCTGAATGAAATGACATGTTTTGTAACCTCTGGGCACTCATTATCCAGTGAGGAAGACAGCCATCAGGAGTGTGAAAGGTGAGCTACTCCTGATAGGAATAATGTGTTGTGGGAGCTTGGAGTAAGGATACAGGAAGGAACCAGGGTGGTGGAGGAAAGACCACCTCAAGGAACTCAAATGTTTTCCTATCCTATCATTGGTGTGTATGCGTGGAGGGCAGGGTGGCATGGGGGACAGATTCATGAAGAAAGCTTAGCACTAGCAAAACATGGAAGCCTAAAACGGTATGTAGTGTTGGGGAAAATAGTAAGAGCCTTGTGAATGGCTAAGAGTAAACTGGTGAGGAGTGCCAGGTGGAGGGTGTTTCTATCTAAACAGGGAAGTTGGGGAATACATTGTGGAAAGAGTTGGACGTCACTATGGTTGTGAACATCAGCATGCAGGCTATAAGGAACCATTAGCCATTGTTAATAAGTAATTCACAAGACCAGTTCTGCATTTGAGAGAGAGAGAGAGAGAAAACCTCTGGTGGACTAGACTTGAGTGATTCCATTTACAAATAATTAAAATATAACTCAGGAATTGTATCTTCCTATTTATAATTTAATAAGATGGAAAAAGGCATCAACCTTCACTTCAAAGAGAACTTTAAAATGTGGCAAAAGTATGTTGTTAAACTGTTGCAATTTTTAGCATTACTGTTAATTCCAATTGTGTTTTGCTTACAAAAACTACAAATTAAAATTAGGTAATTCCTGAAATAATTTCTTTGTGTAAAAATAAAAAAAGAATACTAGAGAAAAACCATCACTATGCTTTGTTAAAAATGTTGAAAAGTATTTGTTTTAACACATGGAAACCCAGAGAGATATTTCTTAATCATAGCTACATCTGTATTATATTGTTTCACAAAAAGTTGCCAATAACATTAAAATTTATGTGGAAAATTTTTCTAAACCTTCAGAGGCCTTAGATTTATACCTGTATCCTTTAGTTCTAGCTACTTAATTATTCCATTTGAAAAAACCTAAATAGCTAATTTAAGGAAATTTGAAGGGAAGGGTAGATCCTGCTATTATATAACCCTGTGAAAATAGTGTAAATGAAATAAAATATGAGAATTTCAGAGTTAGAAGAGACCTTGGACAGTGACTCAGAGACATCATCCAGAGATACATAGGGTCACCAAGCCTTCTAACAACCTACAAATGGGGCCAATGGCCTTGTCAATTTACCTTCTGTGAGCACATGTTCCACCTTCAACTTCAAAACAAACATATATATTTGAAAATATGTTATAACCAAATGTAAACAGAAATTTTCACAAAATAAAACTCCACTGAGGGAATAAAAGATTGACAGAAAGTACTTTGCAGGTGGAAGGAGGGAGACAACAGAAGGAAGGAACTAAAGAAGCTTTTCTTACCACACGCCACAGGAACTCCAGGATAGTCTGCTGAAAGATTGACTCCCTCAATTTCTGCTTATGTTAAGAGGATTGGAAAGACTAACTGTAGAATAGCAGGCTTACAGAAAACAGTTACTTCTTTTAATCAAACCATGTAATCAGAAGGCCTGAGTAATGATTAACTTCCACATTCTCTGTGAATCACTCAATCACTTGGCAGTGCAAATAGACTCAGATTCATTCTCTGCCAAGGGCACAGTAAACTTACTGTTTTCCACATTTAACATTTAATATTTTAAATACATGCATAGCCCTTGCTTCTGAGCTCATTTCAAAAAGCTTGTATTTGCTAGGTTGTAATGGCTGATAGAAATGCTGAGAAATCTTATAGGTTTTATATTCAAACATAGGTAGGTACACATACCTTTCCTCAGTGACATTTTTATATCTATGACCCTTTTAATAATTAAGCACAATTAATTTTTGAGAAATATATTAAGACCCTAATTTTCACATACAGCATGAGAAAATTTAAGCAAAAATAGTCTTCTGTGGGTTCAGTATATAAAAAGGAAAAATGAACATATTAACCACCTATAAAAATGCAGAGTAACAGATACAGGATTAATTATTTGAATTCATGTTTCCCAAGTCCTGCATGTATCACTATGGCCCTGGAAATGGAAAAAGAAATAATATAATGCCTTTGTGGAGGCCAACCCGTCACGACTTAGAATAATCACAAATGAATCAAATATTGGACACATAATATCCCTCATCTCTATAACAAGCAACCTCCTCTGGAATAAATTGTTCCCAATTCAAAATCTCGACCTAAAAATTTTTGAATTCACTGCAGGTGGTTTTTCATTTCTACTCACAAAGCATTGTGTTGAAGCAGGCAGGAGTCAGAGGAGAACGGTTTAAATGTTTGGACTACCTTCTCTCTTCCCCGGAGAGTTTATTGCCCAATAATGCATAATATATTAGTTGCTCAACGCGGGGGATCTAGGGAGTGACATCTTGACTTGAACCACGCAGATCTGAAAACCACTTCGCAGGCAACGGTGTGGGGAAGAAGAGCAACTTTCTTATCTCTGTCAAACTAAGAGGCGGAACCAACCCCAGAACTAGCCGGAGGGCCTGGGGACAGGAGAAGGCTGAGAGCAGCTCCTCTGCGCTCCGCCAAAGGTTCAGGCAAGGGTTTGCTTCTGGAGGCGGCATTGTTCCTCCATCTGCTCAGCCTCCGTGTTCCGCCAGGAAACCCTCCCCGCTTTCTCGTAATCTGTTCTTTCTTTCTTTTGTACCTCTCTGTCGATTTTCAGGCTCTTGGTCTCTGTGGTCCCAGGGCACAGTTCTAGAGTGAAAAGCTGCAGTGACTGGGCGCCGCTCTAAGGATTTGGAAGCGACTGCACTCACTCGTCCGCCTGGACTCGGGCAGCCTTCGCACAGCACACTCGCTTGCTCCCTTCTCTCCGGGTCTCTCCGGCTCGGACGGGCTCTCCCGGCCTATCACCCACTCCTGCTCGCCCTTCCCGCCGTGTCCCCCCACGCCAGCTCCGCGCTCGGCGCCGCTGCCCCGGCGCGCTCTCCGCGCCACGGCCGATGCTCAGCGCGCAGACTTGGCGCCCCCGCACGCCCACAGGCCGAGACGGGGGACTGAAGGGTCAAGCCGCGGCGGGGAGGCGGGGAGGAGCAGCCAGGAGAGCTGGGGCAAGTGGGGACCTGCGGGTGGGAGTGGGAGGAGGCGGGAGAGTGAGCCCAAGAAAAAAAGAAGATGCATCTGTTCTGCAAACGCCAATGAAGAAAGGACAGAGCGGGCAGGAGAGGAGTGGAGGAGAGAACGCCCACCAGGAGGGGTAGGCAAAACGGGCAATTTACAAAGTGCCAGGGCGAGAGATGCCGAGCGAAGAAGGAAGGAGGTTTAAAGGAGAGAAGAAAAAATAAGGGGAAGTTCCCACCTCTCCCCGAAGGTCGGGTCTGAAAAACGTATCTCCAGAACGGGGAAGTTAAACAGGGACTGGCCATGTTGTAAAGGGTGGATTGAAAAAGGAATTAAGTGTAATGTAGTTTTTTGTTGTTTTTTTTTTAAATCTACACTAGACTCAGCTTCATCTCGCTCAACTCTGGCAAATTACCCTCCAAGTAAAATGAATTGGCCTTATGAAGAAACGGAAGCTGAATTTCTTCCACGGCGGACTCCTCCTGAGGTACTGGTTTGTTTGCTGGTTATCTTTCTTAAAAAAAAAAAAAAATGGGAGGTTCCAAAGAAACCATCCAGTTCATTAAAGTTCATTATTTTTTATTGCTTTTATTTTTATCAGAGGTTAGAGTGAGGACTTGACACCTAGAGATGTTCAAAACAGTTATCTAGGTAGCATTAAAAAAAAAAAAAGAACAAAATTGATTTCCTAAAAACGCTAAAAAGGAGGACTGGAAAACTCAGTTACTCGGCTGGGAAAGGGAGAAACGCATTTAAGCTCTAATAGACGATTACACATCCAGCACCCCCTCCCCCCAACAACCCAAAGGAATTGGGAAAGGGTTGAGTTTACAGAAGAGAGAGAGCAGGGCAGGGTTGGTGGAAGGTGGAGAAGGCGAGGGAGAGGCAGGGAGTAGGAAGTTGTCGGCGATCCCCGGGATTAAGATAAACGCCAGAGCTCGGCGGACGCAGGAAGCTCCCTTACCTTTCTCTCTAAGCCCCGTTTGCACCTGATCTGCAACCATAAATACTTCGTGGTGTTTAGTGTGCAGCCAAACGATGGCCGAATGTTAAACAATTCTTCACGCTCCCTCCCCTTTTTAAAAAACAGGCTCAAAAGAATGTTAATACTGTTCTCGTTATCCATGGGCTCCAAAACATTCCGCTTCGTCGAGAGGAGAGACGAAAACCAGGCGCTTGGGCACGCGTATATGTATTTATATATTATGCGGTCGGTATATAAACATATATACGTTTTCTGCATATAAATCCAAAGAGAAAAGCACCACAGATGCTTCTGAAAGCGGGAGGGGAGGGGGAAGAGCAAAACTTGGCAAGCCAAACGTATCCAAAGATTTCGTACCAGGAGCCACCTGCTTCAATATGTAGAATTCCCGAGAAGATTTAGAGGAAGAAGAAAAAAATTAAAAATGAAATACCCAAGACACACACTTGAAACTGGAAGACACCTATGAATAGTGGAAATGAAGAGGATGAGATCTCCCGATGCTACAGATCCTCAGCTAAGTGAGCAATCGTCTCCGAAAATCATAGGCGGGGAGGTGGCTGCAGATGCGTCCCCTGCTTCGGTCCCCGCCGCCGCCGCCGTTGCTACCTGTAGACACGCACACACACGCACACACTCGCGCGCGCACACACAGCAACCTCCTCTCTCTCCCTTCCCCCCCTCTCCGTGGCGTTGCCGGGTGCGGGAGTCTGTATCAAGCTAGACCCATCCTCCAGACCCGGTCCTGCCCCCTCAGAACTACGATTTCCTCCTCTGCCTACCCCCCTCCCCGCCCGGTTTATTGCACGGAACCCCCTCCCCAGCGCGCCCCTCCCCCGGGTCGGAGCCGCGATCGTGGCGGGGGTGGGTGGGCTTCGGGGGCGCGGGTCCGGCGGTGGCAGAGGTGGTGCTGGTGGTGGTCCCTCCCTCTACAAGTTCCCCCCTCCTCCTTCACTCCTCCCGCGGCAGCCTAGCATCCTCCGCCCGCAGCGCCCGCAGCGCCCGCGGTGGCAGGAGGGGTGAAGGGCCCCGGGCGTCACGTGTGACGTTCACCAAACCACTCCGAGGAGCGAGAGAGTGAACTGGCGCCGCCGGCAAGCCGCGCGAGGCCTCCGACGCACTGAGTTTCTCCAATCTCGGCGTTATTTTGCGCTCCCCTTCCAGGCGTTTCGTCTTGGTGACCCAGAGCTCGGAGTTGGAGACAACAGCCTGTCACTGTGCCTCTTCATTTTTTTCCCTCTTGGTAGATCTCCTGGCACCAAACACTCTCCTCTTCCCTGTCTCCTCTAGCTAGAGGCAGAGTCATCTCCGAATTGAAGCGTTGGCTGTCAGCCCCCTTGGTGGGAGTAGTGTAAATGCTACGCCACCGCCTTTGGCCTCTCCCTCCTGGCTGCGCCCACTTCTTCTGCCGCTGGATAGAGAATTTTTGAGAATTCATCATAGCTAATCACTGTTGGCTTTTGCGACGGGTGTGACTCACTGTAGCACATTGTTTACACCTACCCACCTCCTACTAGCCTCTCTGTGTAAATTTTTAAATGCAAGTGAGTTGGGGGCTAGAGCCCTGCTAACAGAACCACTAAATTAATTGATTGACATGTGTAATAATTATAGCAAAGAAAGAAAAATCCATGAGTAGGAAATCACTACCAGACGTAACACATAAACTAGAGAAATGTTTTGTCTTGCTGTTTAAGAGCTTGCTTCATATTTCTCAGTCTTATATATACTTTAATCTCTAAAATCAGGTAAAAGAAAGAAGCTTTAAAATAACCAACATTTGGAATGCAGTTGCCCTGAACTCATCTACTAATTAATAATAGTAAATAGGAAACCTAAGGTTCCACCATATCTGATCTGATTTAAAAAATAATTTTAAATATGACATATTCCTTTGGAATTCAATACCATGTTTCCTTGACACAGTTTTAGAGTGCAGTCTATTTTGTCATTTTTTTTTGTTTTATTTCTTAAATAAACCTTTAGGTGATATGTTAACAAATCCAATGGATTCCAATAATGCTTCCAAGAAAGTGAAATTTCATTCTACTGAAATATGGTATCTGATTTTTGCAACAAGTCTACCCTGACCGAGTTTGTCTAATTCAACAACCTAAAGCCTTTGACCAAAATTTTTTTGGAATTTCCTAGGAAAGTTGAGACACAAGTATCTATTCCAATATCAGTAAAAGTACCTAATTGAATCCTTTTAACTTTCATGAGAGTAAACAATTAAGATAATCTGATGTAGTATATAATTTTGACAACTGAGGAATCAAACTTTTTCAACACAAGTAAGAAGGATTATATAAAGTTATCCATTGTAACTTACATAATACGATGTTTAGTAAACTCTCTTGTATTAAAAGGCTAATGGCATTTGCTGAAGTTAATCAGAACCCTAAGGATAATAACTGAACATTTTTCATTTCCAATATTTGGTTTGATGGGATAAGATGAATTTTAGATAGATCTGTTGTGGGTTGTTTTTATTATTTTCATAGCTACACTTTATCAGCTGACATTATTACCTCATTTTTATGAGTTAGTCTTACAAAAAGCCCTAAAATTTTAACAAAATGAATTGTCACACGAATAGCATTTATCACAATCTGTAAATACAATCAAATGAGGCAAACTTCTATTGCCCATTTTTATCCACTTTTCCAATCAACCCACCTCAAGGAAATAAAACCGTACCATACCATTAGATCTCAAAACCAAGTACACAGTAAGAAGTTTTACTTTTTATTTTATTCTTTTGTTGGTGTGCAGTTAAGAGCTGGACTCTAGAATCAAATTGCCTGAGTTTGAATCCTGAATTGGCACTTAATTTGTTATTGCTCGGTACATGGTACTTAGTCTCCTTAAACTTCAAATTCCATCTCTGCAAAATGGAGATAATAATGGTACCTACCTCATAGGATTATTGTAAGCATTATGCCAAATAATGCATGTAAAGTTCTTGGCATACAAGTTAAGTAAATCTTCAGTGTTTCTATTTTTATTATCTTTGGGATATGTTTTCTCTTCTGATTCAACCAGTACATATGTATATAGGGTCATTTGGGCTTAGTGCTAAAAATCGATCATGCTATTTGGTTGCAAAATATGATATCTATAACCTCAAAGTCATTAAGTAAGAGTAATTTCTAGGTTCTCCCTGCTTTCTCTTTTTCTTATGGTATATCTGTTTCCTATTAATTAATTTTTGCATAGACTATCATATTAAAAGTGGATGATGAGATAGAAAAGAAAATACTAAACACATGAATAGGTGATGAAGGAGTCAATAAAATATAGGAAATTGGATTTAATTTACATTGCAAATCACATGGCCATTTAGGTTGTGACATTAATTGTGCTTGTGCTTACTGCCTTTTACCTTGTCAAGCACTGTTTGGAATGAATACTGGAACTCTCTGTAAAGTCAAACACAAATAAGAACCCTGTGAAATTCGCCCACACATGTCTGTTCATCTGTAGATTTGGAAGGGGACCTCAATATAACACATATGCGAAGTATTAGCACTTTCTGAAAATACTGGCTCAAAAGAGCCTTGGTATGAAAATAAATCTATTGGGTGGGAGTGGGGGGAAAATCGCTAGAGAAGTAGAGAAATCAACTCTATAAGTATATATGTATTACTTAATCGTTGTAATGTTAAGATTTCTTTTCTCAGAAATGAAAATGAAAATATTGGAAAAGAAAGGCTTGAGGGTAAATAGTATATTGTGTTTTCAGACACCTCAATACAGTAGTATGTAGACTCCGTGTGCTTTCAGTCAGGAGGGTCATTAAGTGGGAAGATTTTTTCCCCCAGTAATTATTTATATAAAGAAAATTAAATATTATATTCTCCTAAAGTAAAGAAAAAGCAAGAGTATTACTCATTCTTTGGAAAATCCCAAAGACCCACAGCAGGAGATTAGCACTTTTTTTTTTCTTTTCCAAGGGGCTTAGAAAGAAAAAGTATTAATAAAATGTAATGCTTAGATGAAATTGTATTGCAAATTTCATCATAAATTATATGCATTTTACTTAAAATGAGTTAAATATAAATAATATGCTGAGAAAGAGTTTTTAAGTGCAATGACAGCTCATATTTCTGCTTTAAAAGAAATAAAAGGTAAAGCCAAATAATCTGTTGAGTTGTGGCATTGCCAAGTAGACCACCTGCACAGCTTCCTAGCAGTGTTTTATTATAACCTGGACAAAATATGTGGATATTATTAATACTAATAAGACAGAGCCTGACTTCTAGGATCACTAGTATAGTATCCATTTAGACACAATCCACATGGTCTCCAGCTCTAGTCTATTCACAAGACTGTTTATCCCTCCAGGTCTGTTCACCCCTCCGCCTCCTGCCGTCTACAGTGTGACTAAATCCACCCTCTTTTTATCTAGCCTTTACCAAGTCAAACCATTTTGAAAATCCTCAATAAACCTGTACTTCCTATCATGTGAAATACAAGTTTCTTATCCTGGGATCCAAAAC